CGCCACTCAGGGTCAAACCAATGTTATTAATTTATGTCCCCCCTCGAAGTCCGAAAACTTTTGTCTGAAACATTTTTTCCTAGTGTGCTTATTTTTCGAGATATTTGAAAGTTTCAGGTTAAAAAAATCACCCTGTATATACAGTCTACAATACATCAGCTATACATTTTGATGTTCATATATAAATATATGCTAAATAATTTATAAAAGAAATGCTTAAAAATTAATTCTATGTTAACCAAATAATATAGATGTTGCTTAATAAGTTAATTATCGATTAACTTAATTATTTTGAGTTTAATTGAAATTAATTACTCTTGAAGGCCATTTAACAAAAACTGAAAAAAAAAAAGGAAAATTAATTTAATTAATGAAACTAATTCCGTCTATTACTAAAATAAAAATTCACAAGTATGGGATATTGTGTAAGAAAAAGCTCAACATTTTGAGAAATAATTAAAACGCAGCGTTATATTTTCATGTCTTCTTAACTTACGGACGAAATTTACGATTTCGTTGTACACGAAATTCCGATTTACATAACTTTGTGCGCGAATGAGACTACAAGATCGTTTCGCTACTATAATATTTTATCCAATTAGAAAAGTTCTTCAACGAAACCATTTAACAATCTATAAAATTACGGCGTGTATTGCTGTCACAGGAGTATAACTATGACTTGTATCATATTACAAATTCATAGAGAGGCCTATATGTAAATGATTCATATGTTCTACATGATATAAAAGTTAACGGTCCAAGCAAAAGAATCTTTCCACTACTTTTTTCTTACTTATGTAAAACTTTGATATAAAATCTTCTAATATATTTACATATTCTATAGACATTTTTGGCTGAACAGAAAGATTTGCTTGTTTTAAGATCCCTAAATGACGTAAGACTTAGTCATATACAACTGTTATAATTTACTGCTCTCTAATTTTCTAAATCTTAAAACAAAAAGATAAGTACCAAAAGACTGCTAATTAAATTATAAGTACCAAACACTATTTCTTAGTATTTCTTTAGTTATATTGGAATGACCTGCATACGGAGAATCTTTGCGCAAATTAACGTTAAATTATTCGTTTAAATATTTGCTACAAATGTGAAAAGATATGCAGAAGTCTAAGTAATTTTTTTTTTAAATTACACACTTCTCTTTTTCTCAGAGATATATTAATTCAGATAATTAAAAATAGAAAAAAATAGAAAAAAAAACACTTCTTGGATTTCAACATTCGCGTAATTAAGTTAAAGCTGCTGTGCATAAATAAGAAAAATTTATCATAAATCCTAGCTAATATTAAAGTGAGAACAAACAGCTAAATGTCTCACATTTTTTTAACATTCATGTTTGTTCTTAACGTGATATAGTCTTAATATGATATTGTACATATAGTAGTCTCTTGAACACTGACATTTTCCGTCTACATCTATTATTGCAAAAGTTAACAATTCAAAAAGAACTCTTTCTCTCTTATTTCATTTATAACCCTGATATAATTTTACGTATTTAAATAACATCCCTTACACACTTCTAATAAAAAAACTGCATTCCGTTCCTTAAACTTTTGTACAGGATACATTTAAAAAATAATGTAAATATCATCAGAAAGTAACACGCGCGGTTTCCTTTCGGAAAAAGAAATGCAGCAAAAATATAAGTACATATTCCGTACTTGGACCCTGGATTCTTACTTTCGTAAATTTCAGTACTTTAAAATCACTTTTATGCCTGTAAAAAAAGAGATTGCACTTCTCTCGTTGGAGATCTACTTAAATTATACAAAATCCGCTAAATTTATCGCGTGCAACCATGTATTGCTTGTATATATATATATATCACACAAAAACATTCTGTCACGTATTCTTTCTCGATTTTACATCGCTCCAATCCTGCTCGGGCCGAATAAACTCCAAATCACTGCCGTCCTCGGAACTGTTGTCGTCATCGAAATACGGTCTGGTAACTTCATTGTCGTTCGACGGATATCCTGAAATTACAGAGCAGAAATTAGTTATGTAACATGATTTGAGAGATTAGATTTTTTTGTGATCCCCGCTGAGCGTTATGCGCAACACTGATATAATTACCGTCTACCGGTCTTCGAAATATCTCGATTTCCTTCTCGTCGTCGTCGAAGAAGCTACCGCCGTCTTGCAGCAAGCTGAACGCGTATCCCTTTCTGCTCTTCTCCGTGTCTTCCCGACACCTCGCGCAGATACATGTGAAGCAGAACACGACGCCGAAGCATATCATACCTGCAATGCGGATTACATTGCGCGTATTATACAGATCTTCATTGTTCCCCGGAAGCTGTTAAACATCTCGCAAACTGAAACTTACCCGTTATTATGATGAATACTAGCCTAGGCATTCCCATGATACTGTCGTCGCGGACGAGCTTGAACATCAATCTGGAGAATCTCTTCGCCTCGAACGAGAGCACGGAGATGAGTCTGGTCTCCGCGTGGTACCCGGGCGCCGTGGCCGTTATATTGTGACTTCCAGGCGGCAGTAAAATCGAGTACGAGCCCGACCTGGTGTTCTTAATCTGGTGCGGCGACCTGTCGTACGACAGGACGACGTTCTCGATCGGTTCGTCCTCCTCATCGGTGACGTATCCCCTCACGCCCCTCTTCAACTCCTGCACGCAGGCGAGCAAACTGTCCTTGTTCTCCTGCCATACGACGGTCGACTGATCGTTGGTGCAGCAGGTGACGTACACGTCTATCATCAAGGTGCTCGTGTTGAAGTAGGCGTAATCCATCAGGGGATGACCTCTCTTCCCGCCGATTCCCACCGCCGCGCGTATCACGCTGTTGTCGCCGACGCTCGAGTCCTGTTCGCATTTCGCGCTCGCCGACAGCTTGCCCGTCCTCGCGTTGGCGTACACCGACGCCAAGTGCCACAGCAAATCCTCGTCGCTCTCGTTCTTTCGCTCGCCGAGAGTATTTCCGTAGTCACGATCGAACGGGATCTCGATGTGCCGCGAGCCGCTGTTGAGATTCACGGCCAGCACGGCGTTCACGTCCGTCAGCCAGTTCGCGATCGTGGCCGCCTCTCCGTTCAGCGTCTCGTGAATCGGGAACTGCAGGCCTTTCAGCTGCGGCGAGCAGGTGGGATTCTCGTTGGGCTCGGGCGAGAATTCCGGAGCCACGTATATGGAGAAGTCGTCTATGTAATCCGTGATCGTCGCGTTCTTCTTGTAATTGCTCAGGAGATACGTGGCGAAGCGCAGGAGCATCTCGGCGATCGCCGGTTCCGCCCGTAGGACGCCGGCTAGGAAAACGACGGCGGGTCGTCCGGCTCGTTTCTGGTCGTTGTTGGCACCGATTTCCAGGCACATTATCTCGTCACCCTTCGCGGTTTTGCCGACGCTGTGCAGGGTCGTCTGTCGCGAATACTTCATATTCAACTCGGCCAGAGCGCGGTTGACGAAGCTCATCTTCTCGAGTGGTCTCTTGCGGTTATTCTCGAGCGTCGTCGTGTCCTGCGCCAGCTTGACGTCGAGATTCGTCACGCTTTGTCGTTGCACGGGTACTTTTAGCGTCTGCGAGACGTAGCCCTCGCAGGAGATCGTTAACGTGTACTCGCCGGGCACCAGGATCGCTTTGAAGTAAGCCATGTTGTGCGACACGCCGTAGATTCTCCCTCCGACCTTGACGACGGCCTCTCGAAGCGGAGCGCCATACTTGTCCGTTATCGTCGCGCGGATTCCGCTCGCGAGACTCTGCACCAGCCCCATAAGCAGTTGCAGGTTCTCGCGCCAAATGATGGGGATCGAGTCCGCGGGCGGATACTTGCAGCACGACAGACTCACGCTCATCTGCAACACAGGCAAGCGGATATTTAGAGTATTTAGCAATGAATTAAAATTGTAAAGGAACAAGCGCGAGAAAGAATTATTAGCCTACCGCTGGCGTGTCGTAAATGCGCTGTATGAAATTCGTCAAACGTTGCGTACTGTTGCTTGACTGGCTGCATATCTCGTTGTGCCTCGAATGCTCGTAGGTGTCGGCGAGTGTTTTAAACGTGTTGAGATCGTCATTCGAATAACTGAAGGACAAAAATTGATCAGGAACTCGGCGACAAATTTCTTCGCGAATTGTGCTTATAAATTGTCACACGTTACCTGATTTGCGAGGCGCCACCTCCCAGCATCACAACGACGTCGTAATTTTCATTCTGCAACATTGTCCTAAACGCATTCGTAACTTTATCCGTCTGCTCAACGTTCTCCAATAACTTCTCTCCTATTTCGTTGTCGACTGTAGGATTGCAGTCCTTCCTCTCCTCCACGTTATCGAAGCCTGGATCGACACCAGGAATGACATGCAGCATAGCGTCGTCCAGCAGTCTCTGGATAGGCGGGTCACCAATTTGGTTCCCCTTAAGGATATGCGTCGCCAAGCGTAATAGAATTTCCCTGCCCGCCGGCTGGGAGGCAAACAGTCCTCCCACCAATGCGATGCGAAATTTATTCTCGTCGGGTGATCCCATCTGGAAAGTGCGCGTTTTTAAATTAAATACAGACACGATATAATGGCCAAATGTATTGTCGTGCGAACTCACATTATGCGTGATTTTCAGTGAATGAATGGCCATGCTGATCGACGAATCACCGGCTATAAATTCTGCGGTGTCGGGCTGATGATTTTCCAACTGGCTGAATCTGGCGCTCAGGTCGGAATTTTTTAAATAGCCATTCTGCAAGTTTACCCTCAATCCATAATCGTATGCAGATGACCTGCGATGGATACTCATTATGAATCGATTCTCTTAATATTATTTTACATTCCAGAAAGCATATATATGATTAAACGATACAATATAGCTACTTGGAGAAACACGCAGCGTCGCTATCTTCTATTAAAATAATCGGCTTGATTTATCTTCTTGAGGAAGATCCGAGCAAGGCATATATATTTCGAAAAGTCATTTAAGAAATCTTTCTGTGTGTCCACCTTATTGAGTATAAATTTTATATCGTGCGGTCGAATCGCAGAAAGTCTATTTTAAATTGTACTTTAAATAGATAATCATACCAGTGCAGAGGGTCGTCACGCATTAACGTAAAGTCCAGAGTCACTTCTCCGTCCCCGGCATTTTCGCCGTATGCCGGTACATCGACAGTCTGCATAAGTGATTCGTATCCCACTGCGCTGACGGTTATATTGTATCGCCCTGGTACCAGTAGTCGCCAATAACCGCCCTTCTCGCCCGTATAAATATCGTGCTTTCTACCTTCAACCGAGACCTTTGCATGGGGTATAGGGGTGCCGATGGACGAACTCACCATGCCGTGTACACCCTTGCGAGACTGCGAGAAAAAAAATGAATCGAGTATCACGTTAAAATCGATCGCTATGAAGGAGTTATTATGTTGCTCCGACCAATTTGCTTCTGCTCAATCAAACCGTACCAATTCGACGTAACGCAGAAGAGGCTCCCTATTCTCCAGCCAGTAATTCGGCAGGTCGCTGACGTTCGGGTACTTCGTGCATCCGAGCTCCAGGGTGATCTCGAAGTCGTTGCTGTGCAGGTAATTGTAATCCTGCATGCCGCCGGGCACGGAGTACCAGGCGGCGCCGTTCGTTATACCCTCCGGGAAACGCTCCTCGAGGACTGTCTTCGTGCCGTAGGCGTCGTTCACTATCGGCGGACACGGCTGGCCGAGATGCATGCGGGGATGAGCGTTGGAATACGTTAACGCCAGCGTACGGAAGACGTCGTCGTCCGGGCTTCGATTCGCGACGTTGGACCCCAACTCGTCCGGTCCGTCGTCGTAAGGGTAATTCGCGACTAACGCTCCCCCGTGAAGATTAGCGGAGAGTACAAACGGGATTCTCGCTATCCAGTCCATCACCGCCTTGGTCTCGGGTTCCTGACGCCGATTGAACTGAAAGATGTGATCGAGTGAACGCGGCCTGTTTTAACTGTACAAATCGTTAAATGATACGCAGGATGATTCGTAATTGTATATTAATAATTGAGATGAGTCTAGTCTAAAACGTAAAAAAAAAGTTACCTTAACTTTATAGCGCAGTGTACTTTATTGATGAAAGGCGAGTGTACCGAGCATTTAAACTTGTTGTAATTTGAGAAATGTAAAACCTGAGCTGTGTTATTTTATTGCAAAAGGCATTTTGAAGTAACGATCAAAAAATCTATATATATGTAAACTTATCTCTTTATCCAAGATATAAAAAATTAAACGAGAGTTCTATTGTACATTGCTCTGCTTCTTCAAGTGTCATTATCTCGCAAAATAAAATAAATAATTGAAATATGGAAATGACGAGATGACAAATAAATCGACAAATATGTAAATGTAAGAAAACATATTCAGAGAACGTACATCGTTGATTTCGTAATGATCGGGAAAGTTTCGATTGAGGTCTACGCCGTTCGCGTTCGCTCTGCCTTTCGCCCCGTAAATGTCGCCTTCCTTGGAGATTTCGTACCCGTCCGGGTTCATGCTCGGCAGCACGTGGAGCCTGACGGTCTCCACCAGCCGCGTGACCCTCGCGTCGGTGCCGTAGTTCTCGCAGAGGTACCTCAGCAGCAGCAGCAGCATTTCCCTGCCGACCACCTCATTCCCGTGCATATTCCCGACGTACTTCACCTCCGGCTTCTCCGGGCTGTGGACGCCGGGATTACTGGTGACCTCCATAACGTAGAGCTCGCGACCCTGCACGGACGACCCTATGCTGTAGAGCCGCGTGATACCGGGATAATTCGCGCGCAACCGCTTCAGGTATCGCTCCATCTCGACGTAGTTGTGATGCTTGAACTCCACGCCGTGGTAAAAGCCGTACTTGTCGACGGGCCTTACCACTTCGTCGACCGTACTCTCTTCCCCTGCATCGTACGAATACACAATCATGATTGTTGTTAAAATTAAACGCAAAATTTTCAGAAGAGACGAACATCGCTCGCGCAAACGAAAATACACGGCGAAATGCGCTGTTATATGCGGTGTGTGTGTATAATAATAACAAAACAAGAGATGGATATGTTACAAAACACAAGGTACAGAGAAAACGAAAAAGGGTGAGAGACAAATAATCAGACGTGTGTACGAAAAAAAAATAATAATAATAAATGTGGTCGAGACACTTAAGAGGAAAAGGATAAGTATCGAGTAAGTTACTCACTGCTCACTGACGAAAACAATGTTTTTATTTCTAGTTTTTGAACAATACATGCTTGTAAGGAAAATATTAGAACATACATTGTTATACAGATTATGATATACCGGACCACCGACGTGTCCTCACATAGAGATCTACATTTATTAGCATAATTCCCGATACAATAGAATAGGTATTTGGCAGTACTATGTATCTCACATGGTACATGTAAAACACAGTACATTTCTTTTCTCTTTCTTCATTTTGTATACTTGCTTTTACACGAAATAAGGTAGACAAAACGTTCCGTATTGTCATTGCGTTTCATATTAGTTTTACTTCCAAACATCATTTAGAGAATCCTAGCCAAATTCTATCTTTTCACAGCTAATCTTGTCGAAAACAACAAGTCAAATAACTAGATATTGTCAGGAAAAATAATTGAAATATTTGAGAAAAAGCGTTTATACATTTCAATATATTGATAACATTGATATTTGTGTTCTGCAATCTGTCTAATAATATTAACAATGAAACATAATTGTCTAATAATAATTGTTCAACGCTTTGCCTATTTTCCATTCAAGGAAAATATACGGCAGTTCATGGTTCTTGTGCTCGTAAGTACATATCTCTAAAGAAAATATAACCATTTCTATGTAAAGATTTCAGTCTGATTCAAAATATGAATAGTCTATAAATGTTATAGGTATCTGTAAAGATATGTCTGATCAGTTAAAATTTGTCCGTTCGCGATATTGATATTGTAATATACCACTTTCCAATTTGCAGACAGGGCATTGTTTGTCTTTGTAAGAACGTACATAATTTTTACACATTTCATATAAGTCTTGAATGCATTCACGGAATGTTTGTTCACATATATATATATATATATATATATATATATATATGTCATAATAAATAAGTTTGAATAAGATAATATTAAAACTAAAAAAAAGAGTAAAACGTATAAGCAATAGAATAAATATATGCCTTCTGTCACAAATTGGAATTAAAATATTTTCCTTATTTGTTCACGTATAAATATAACTATGACAAAAATATATTAAAAATCCTTATTCCTTTTCTCTACCATATGCAGTTCGTAAGACTCATTTCTCCATACCTTGTGTGTAAGTATGTATAATTGTTTCTACTTCCTTACTTAAATCTAGCTAATTAAATGAATAAAGAATGCCATGTCGCGAAATATGTCGGGAAACAAATAAGAGATTCTGCTGTCATAAATTATTAAAGATGCGTACATCCGACTTTCGCAACATTAATTCGCTAAAACAAAACAAAAAATGTACTCAAATAAAAAGAAGTAACAGAAACTCTAATAATATTTAAAAAATAAGAATAAATGTTTTTTAATAAAGTATTTAAAATAAAATAATTTGCTAACATAAGAATCGTAATGTTGCAGTATAAATAGAATATATATATGTTAAAACACAAATGAATGAATGATGTGGTTAGTAATAGCTATTGACATTTTAGGCAAAGAGATAGATGTTAGATAAACAATATACAGCCGTGACAACAGTGTGTTGTTAATTTAAATGTTAATTCGAAAATGAGTAGTCCTGGTCATCGTAATCATCTAGTATCAGTTTATATAATGCAGGTAATTTGTTAAAAAGTGGTACTATTTGTGGATAATTTATATCACCTTTACCTTGTTCATACACTTCTCTGCCGCTTAATGTAAAGTTAAGAATCGTCGGTGCGTCTTCTAATACAGTTACAGTTGCTGGATCGCTGGATTCGTATCTAAATAAAGAACAAAACATAATATAGAAACAGGTTTCCAGGCGCTGGAAAATATTCTTCAGCTCGGAACGACACACCGTGTATTATCGTCTAAGAAATTATGCGTTTACATACCCCCATGCAATGGCATAAACCGAATAAGTTCCAGGAAGCAGTAAGCGCCAATACTCGCCGTCGGCCGACGTTGTTATATTATGGTTTATTCCCTCCACAACAACGTTTGCTTTGTTGATCGGTTTACCGTTCGTATCGCGTACAAAACCTGCAAACGAGAGACAGATCGTGAAATCTCTTTCTAAAATTAATCCAACACGAAAACAACATATATATAAATGTTACCCTTTATTCCAATATGCACTTGCTCCAAATATTTAATCAGAGACTCTTTATTTAGTAACCACTGCTCGGGTAGCGTTGATCCCGGTGGATATTTACAGCAACTCAGCTCGAACGTTATTTCGAATGCGTTGGAGCGGGCGTAATTGTAGTCCTGCATTCCACCAATTACTTCATACCTGTTGACAAATGAAAACATTTCTGTGACACAGTCTAATTAGAGCAATTTAATTCTTCGCAAGAATAGACTCCACTCGCGGATATGGATCTATAATGCTCTTTGCTTCCTGCTTTTTATCTCTTGCCTTTTTTCCCTCTTTACGACCGTTTTATCGACAATCGTGTTTCTTGTCATGTGTTTCCTATCTCTTTCAAAGTTCAACATCTATCCCGGGTGAAAATGAAGGATCAGGATATAAAAGGCAAAAAAGACAAGGGTGATAAAACAAGATGCAAAGAACACATTGTAGATCTTAAGATTCAGCCTAAATTCCTGCAAATAACAAGTTAATAGTTTCGTGAAAATTTATCTGATAGATTTCATTAATCACTTCAGTTCAAATCTAAAAATCGCAATATATTTAATTCTTACCAATATGCTCCGTTTGTAACGCCGCTTCGGAATATCTCTGGTGGACAGGCGTCACCTGCGCGCATTTGTGGATGATTGTCCGCGTAAACATGAGCGAGGTACTTGAATAAATCATCATCCGGGCTCTTACTTTCTATGCAGCACGCTTTCGGGATACTGAAAGAACACATCTCGTCAGACAGATAATTTAACGGTATGTGACGCAGCTATCGTGATGAGAATTGTAAAATGTACCCAGAATCGTATGGATAGCTGGCAACCACAGCACCGCCATGAAGATTCCCGGAGAGCACGAAAGGCTCGTTGGAGATCCAAGTCATCATGGCCACCGTTTCGTTCTGGCGACCCTTCAGGATGGCATTGCCCTTCCTCAGCTGACTGAGCCTTCTGTCGAACTGGTCGGGGAAGTCCCGATTCAAGTCGACGTGATTCGCGTTCTCTCTGCCCGAGAAGTCATCCTTGGACTCGCATCTACCCTCCTGAAACACAAGAACGCCTCAAATTGTCCGTCATCTCGGCGGAGATAATTTGCGACGCAACCGCAGCGCAACCGGGAGCCTCACCACCGAAGTCTCGAAACCGTCCGGATTCATGGAGGGCATCAGGTAGATGTCCGTGCGGTTCACCAGCCGGGTGATGCGATCGTCCTTGCCGTAACGGTCCAGGAGGTACTGGCCGAGAATGACGAGCAACTGCCTGCCCACGGCCTCGTCGCCGTGCATGTTGGCGACCAGCTTGACCATGGGCTCGCCGGGGTCGCGCCGCCCGACATTCTCCGAGATCTCGAGGACGAGGAGGTCGCGACCCTCCACCGACTTCCCGATCGAGAGCACCCGCGCCAGGTGCGGGTAGCGGCGCGCGAGGGAGTCGAACAGCCGCCGCAGGTCCTCGTAGTGCGTGTAGGACGTGGTGACGTAGTCGCCGTCCCGCGGCTGCTCGGCGACGTTCAGCGCGTAGCCGTTCGCCAGAACGGCCGCGGCGCAGACGAGCGCCAGGATGACGACGCCGCGACGTATGCCGTCCATTTGCGGATTTTCCGGTTTTTCAATATCTCGCCGCGAGACTCTCGGACGAATTCGACCGCGTACGACCTTCGCGCACGACTCCTGGCTGTGCACCACCCTCAGGGAAGACTGTCAAAGGCTCATATCACGGATCTTCCCCTTATCCTTCCGCATATATACACAGTGCTGACGTCCGCACGTCGAAGTCGAACGAGTGTGGGCGACGTATGGGTCGACGGGGAGGAGGGGGGAGGGGGGGGGCGCGAACAACGTCACCATTCCCCAGAGCGAGCGTCCTCCTGCTTCGCCTTGAGGCTTCCCTCCCGTTGGTTCATGCGCGATAAATGGCGATTAGACGGACGGCGATATCGCGCGGTGTGCGGATGTTATCGCGGGTTTGCAACGTTATCGTCTCTTGGCTAATTGTAAAGTCGTAAGTGTACGCACATTCGTCGACAGTTCGTTATCGAATTCGCGGTGCTCGACGAAACCGCTCGACAAACGCGTGTGACGTGACTCATAACTAACTGCACGGCCGATTAGGAGGGATTAGGTTAGGACCGTTAGGAGATTAGGTTAGAATCTCGCCGTGACCGAAGTGTGAGGAGCGATAAAATTGGCAATGGCTAATAAACAGTGAGTAACAGCGAGGTGGTCTCTCTTTTATTGCGCGGGATTTTTAATCGCCCATCAACTTGAAACTGATGATTCTCTCGATGTTGCTCAGGTACGGCCTGATCCTGCCGAAGAAGCAGCCGCAGGGCGCGGCACCGAAGCTCGTCAACGTCTTCGGGGACGACAATGCCTCCGACGAGGACGACGGCACCGACTGGGTCAGGAAGGCCCTCAAGGCGGAGGGCGAGAAGAACAGGCTGAAGAAGCAGACGAGGCTGGACATGCAGAAGGCACTGAACGAGGACCCGACGATCTATCAGTACGACGAGGTGTACGACGACCTGGAGCGCGGTAAGGGGGGCCAGTCGGACGGCGCGAGCAGGGCGCGGAAGGAGAAGAAGTCCAAGTACATACAGAAGCTCCTGAACACGGCTGACCGTAGGAAAAAGGAGCAGGAGCACAGGATAGAGAGGATGGTGCAGAAGGAGCGCGAGGCCGAGGGAGAGATGTACGCGGACAAGGAGAGCTTCGTCACGTCGGCGTACCGAGCGAAGCTCGAGGAGTTCAAGAAGATGGAGGAGGAGGAGGCAAAAATGAATAGATTGGAGGCTATCGGCGACGTGACCAAGCAGCAGGACATGTCGGGATTTTACCGTCATCTGTACGAGCAGACCGTTGACTACAAGGGGGAGACCAACGAGAATGAAGGCAGCAAGGCCGAAGAGAGGAGTACGGAGCAGAGGGAGAGGAAAACTTCGACAAGCAGCACAAACGGAGAGAGCGAAACAGCGAACAAGAGGGCGAACGAAACGGAGGAAGGACAGAGAGCGATTGCAAGGTCAAAAAAGTCGAGGCAATACAGGCAGAGAGTCATAGAGACGTACGAATCTGATTCTGAAACAGAGAGTAAAGAGGAGCTGAAGAAAGACCGGACCGTCGCTTCGCCAGTGGACAAGGGGGCCGATACGGCAGAGGTGCAGGAACCGGAGGAGAAGAAACAAAGATTGGACAAGAGCCACGTGAACCCGGTCGAAAATATCGTGGATACCGAGGATAGAGATACAGATATACCTCAAAATAACGACGTCACTCCAGAAAGTGAGAAAGTTGAGAGTAAGGAAAAACCCGTTGAAAAGAAAGACAGATCTTCCATTTGGGAAAAGAGAACAGTAGGTCCGGTGTTCGAAGCGGCGTTACAAAGGTATTACGCGAGGAAGGCGGCAAGGCTGACTGCAGCAAATTAGATGTAATTAATTTTTTATATAACAATACCCGTTTCACTTTTGCATCGATCAATAAATGAATAACTGACCTTACCTCCAATGGTAAAAATTGTACAAAAAAATGTGATCTCCGATTGTAAAAATGTGTATAATAAAAATTAAGGATAAAACTTATTTTATATTAGAAAAAATGTATTTAAAAAACATGCATACATAAAATACAAATGCTCAAACGACGATTTTTTTAAGTAACTTAAGTAGATATAGCTGGGCTAAAAGAAAAAAAAATTATATATATATATATATATATATCATTCAGATGCACGAGATAACTTTCATTTAAAAAACTCGACCACTATTCAGGTATAAAATTCTATTTAGTCATTGTGTATCCATTTCTCCGGATATTTATTAAAAATATTTTTAGAAAAATTCAGCCTCTCTTTCACACATCTATACAACTGCACGCAATTCCATCCAACATGAAAGCTATGTGAATAGCACATTATCTCTGCGAAGAGATGATGTGAGTTCATCGATTTATGAAATGTCGTCACGTCTTGTGAAATGCAGTCCCGATGTACATATCGTTATATATATATATAAATATATAT